AATGAAAGGAAGAAAAAGAAAATATACTGGGGACAACACAGCATTTAAGGCATATACAATCTCTTAGAAGGACTATTTTTCTTTCAGGTTTTCTTTCAGGTTGACTAATCGGTTGATTAGTCGATTAATTCCAAAGAGACAAGGCAGAGAGAAAGGACAAAGTGTGCACACACACACATGCAGAATGCCTGTGTAAGCTTTATTTCCTAAGGAAGTCAGGATAAAAACATCTCAGTGATTAATACACAAACAGCGATCGCTCATATCCTGCAGACTTTCAGGAAATAACAGAAATCTGCAAGTAAATTTAACTGAGTCTGTAGCAGACAAAATTAACTAAAAGATGGAGATGTAATTGCCTGAGTCTGTATACAAAGTCAAGCTGAAAGATAAATGGCAGATCCATTTTCCTGTTGACTGTTGAAGTAAATTAATTATCTGAGGTCATGGATTTGTTTCCAGAAATAAGAATGTGAATCTGAAGAATTTGAAAGAGTTTGTAACAAGTAGAAAATCAGTGTGATTTCTCAGTCAGATAACCATGCAGCCACAATACTGCCGGGCCAAATTTGCCCTTTTGAGGATCATTTCACAGAAGTGTGAAGTTTCTGCATAGTGCTGTCCTAGACAAGGGTAACATTATTTATCTGATAGCCTCATCCTGCTTTTTCCTAGGATCTGGCTTCGAACGAAGTTTCCCATTACATGAAGTTGATTGTCCAGAACAAACACGATCATGCTGTAACTCTTACACAGCACTCAGTCTCAAGACAGTTTAGTTATTTAACAAATGTCCTCCAACAGCCATGTGTGCAGTACAACAGGAATGACAGTTATTTCCTGCAGTGAGTATGCGGCTGTGGGTGATGCCCCTCTATCTGTAGCAGTGGAATATGGGCAGTGATGGGCTCAGCGGCAGCTGGGAGAGACAGCTGGACTGTGAGACAGAGAGAACTGAAGAGAATGGAAAAACAACAGCAGCAGAAGAAAAATAGCATGTAATAAACAGGAAAAGGGAGAATGATAATAAAATAAGTGAGGAGACCAACCAGCCTGATACTGGTTTCGGCAGACAAAACAGCTATGAATGCTGCCACAACGTATCCTTGCAGAAGTGCACTGCGGTGAATGGATTCTGGCCCACCAGCCAGGACTTCTGCAGCACAGCACTGGCAGTTGCCAAGGAAAAGCAAACACATTGCCCAGGCTGGTAGCTGTATGTTGGCACTGCTGCACCCTTGCCTGGTGCTGCTCAGTTGTCACTGTATCCTAAAGTTCTGTGCTACTGGCAAGTTGTCAGCAACAAATGGGTTTGGCTTTCTATGCTCCAGGTCAGCAATCCCTGTACGGCTGAGAGGCTTTCTTGTGAGAACACAGGAACCTAGCAGCAGGAGCTGAGACCTGGAGTGTCAGCCAGGGCTGGGCTGGCTAGCTCTTTGCCAATTCCTTCAAATCAAGCCACCAGCAATCAGTTCTTGAAAACAAAGGAAAGAAACAAACCACAGGGATTACAAGATTGAAAACACTGGATTAGACAACAGTTACAAAGTATTGAAGAAACTATGCAGTGAGACCCTAGAAGGATACAAAAAAAGCCCTTGAAAACATCTACAGGATAGGATGGATCTGGAAGAAACACGGAAAGGGAAAGACCAACTCATTGACAGCAGACGGAATACGAAGGTGGAAAAGATGGAGTTCAGAGATGTGGAAGACAAATCACAAAGTAAGTGGGTAGAGGAGAAATTGTAATACCAGAAAAAGGATATTAGAGAGACTTGGAGAGAACAGAAGAGTGGGAGAAGATTTAAAACTGCCTGAGATGTACATCAGAACATACAACCATGTTATTAATCAGTTTTTTCCCTGACAGCTGAAAAGTAATGGAGCCTATGCAAGCAATTAGCTTTAGGTAGATCACAGGACAACTGTAAAATTCCTTTATACAAACTCTGTCACAGGTGATTATATGTTATTTATGTGAAACATTTATGGGAGATACACCATCAACATAATCATGTTATATCAGCAGGAAAAGAAAAAGCAACTCGTGTGGCCTCCCTTCCCTTCTCTGTGCTAAGCAGTTCTGTTGCTGTAAGGAAGTTTTCTAAGCAATGTCCATTGCAATTTAAAAATTGAATTTATTTTTATCTCGAGTTTACAGTTGGTATTTAGTTCTTTTTAAACTGTATTTGCACCCCCCGCCAAAATACTGTCATTTATCCATGTTTCTTTGTCAGGAGCTGTTCTAATTACGCTGCTCTAAAAGTCAGATTAATCAATAGAGTTAATTCTTTTCATCTATTCTCAACATGAAGCTTTCAACTCTAAGAACAGCCCCTTTTGTATGGCTGGAGTGGCTGATCACTGCTAAAAAAGTCCAGTTTAAGCTGAGTTACATCATTCTGTTGATGAGCAGCACTCATACACACTACTCTACTGAATTTAGCGTGGCTACTCATTTAACTATGCAATATGAGTTAACATTGGAAGAAATGGAAAATGTTACATTTTTCTACTTGTTAAAAAAATAAATAAATACCAATGAAGACTACAGGAGACTACAGAGAGATAAATTAAGTACCTGTTTGACTCTACTCAGATACTGGGCAAAGTTAAATAGTATTTTCACTTGCATTCAACTGCATAATTCCCCTCTGATCCCTTGTTTTAAAACACTACAATGAAGAGTTAACAAACAAGCTTTCAATTTTTTAAAGGTCTCTCACATGTAACAGTGAACTACGAACCATGAACAGGCACAGTCAGGTGCCAGCCCCATTGGAATTTTGTCAGCCATTCTGTAGGCAAGCCTAAGACTCATTTTCCCCTTCCATTAATGTTATCTGGGCACACACTGCTACTAAGGGGAATGACTGAGACACAGCCACAAGAGTGGAGGTTCTTAGACCCGGGCAGCACAACTCACAGGAGCTTGATGAAAATATCCCTACACGATAGCCCCCAGGGATGATTTTACTGGTTATTCCCAAAGCTTGCCAAGATGAGCATGTGGCAAAGCCAGGCATGAGAACTGGGGCATACAAGCAATCACAAGGGTGAGTCTAGTATTAAATGTACAGATTGGTGGCCCTGCCTGTGGTGGAAAGTTGGAGCTTCATGATCCCTGAGGTCCCTTCCAATCTGGGCCATTCTGTGATTCTCTGACAAGGTCCCAACTCCCTGGTTGTCCCAAAGTCTTCTGTCACAAACCAAATGCAGGTTTTTACCTGGACATGGTTTAAGCACACACGTCCTTCTCTTGCTCATAAGCATGCGACAGATGACAACTCGTAAACAAGAATGTACGGAAATCTTCTCTGTTCTGCTACAGCAGCTCCTGCACTCCCCCTGCCCACACCTGCCCACACCTGACATGGTGTGGTCCACAGATTCCCCCTCCCAGCGGAAAATCTGCTGAAAATCGAGTCGTATTGTAAGCAGGTCTGGATAAAAGCAGTCATCGTCTTCTTCTATGTGCTTATCCATAACTAAACCATAAATAAACAATGCTAAAGCAGTAATGAAGTACTTCAGGAATTCAAAGCGCATGAAAACCTTCAGCCCTCAACATTTTAAAACCAACTACAGCACGCACTGTAACCGGACTGCAGTCAGCGCCACGTGCCTGCAAAGCATTCTCTTAGCAATAGTTCTGAGCCCAAACCGAAGTCGGACTGTCGCCTGGTGCCTGCGTCGCTGCGCGCTACAGCGGCTCTCCTCACAGCGCGTCAGACACCACAAGGCATTACAGCCACACATTAACTCCTTTCATGGCGTTTCTTTTCCATTTCACTTTTCCCACGCAACTCTCCCCACCTCACACCCCTCACAACGCCACAGCAGCGCTGAGACGGGACGCACCGCCCTCCCGCTCCCGCCCCCGCCGCAGGAGGCGCACGGCGGCACGCGCAGCTCCCCGGCCGGCCCCCGTGGAACTCCATTTCCCGTCATGCCGTGAGAGCAGCGCGAGCCGCGGGCGCGTCACGGGCGCGGGCAGCCAATCGCGGCGCGGCCGAGGCGGGCGCCGTCAGCCGCCAATGTTGTTTTCGCTGAGTCGAGCCGCCGGTGTTGTTGGCGGCGGCGCCATATTGGAAGGGACGAGCCCGCGTTAGCGAGAAGCCCCTTGGCGCTGGCCCGGCCGCCGCCATGCTGTATCTGGAGGACTATCTGGAGAGTGAGTGTGTGCGGGACGGGGACGCCGGGCGGCCGGGCACGGCCGGCGGAGGGGAGCCGGGGAGAGGGCGCGGCGACGTGGCGGCGCCCCCTCCCCCACGGCGGTGAGCGACTGACACCCCCCCCTCTCTCCCCCGCCCCTCCCTCCGTGTGCCCGCAGTGATCGAGCAGCTTCCCATGGATCTGCGCGACAGGTTCACCGAGATGCGCGAGATGGACCTGCAGGTGCAGAGTACGTGAGTCCCGCCCCCTCCTCTGCCCGCCCCCTCCCCTCCGCCTCCCGCCGCTGCCCTCCGCCTCCCGTTCCTCGCCCGCCCCGCCAGCAGGGGGCGCTCGCTCCCCGCCTCTCCCTGCGCCCCGCCGCGGGGCAGGAAGTCGGCCGACAGTCGGCGGTGCGGGGAATGGGGAGCGAAGCGCCACCGCTGAAGGCGCTCCGATTTCTGCGGGTCCCTCCGCTCCCCGCGGCTCTCCGTCGCCCGACCCGGGCCGCTCGCACCCCGCCGCCACCCCACGCTCCGGCAGCTCCGCTCCGCTCCACCGCGGGGATCGGCGTCCCGTCGCCCCGTCCCGGCCGCCGGCCGCCCGGCGTCTTCTCCGGCTTGGCGGCGGCGGGAGGCGGCGCTGCGGAGGCCCGGCCCGCGGCGGGGAGCTGCCGGCACGCAGCAAGGGGCGGGGCGCGCTCGCCCCGTGTGCTGACAGTGAGCGGCGCCCCGGCCCCCATCCGCGCGGCGCTGGTCGGCTGCTGCTTGTGCTGCTCCCTGGGGCTTATCGGTGGCACGTCCCAAACTCTTCAGGTTTTTGGTCCCTAAGAGCAGTGATGGTGGTTTGGATCAGGAGCTGCACCCCACTCTTTCATCAGGTCGTACTGGTTCTGAGACCTTCCAGCCAGCTCCGCTCACCACAGTGTACAAGAATGAGATTTTTGCCTGTGCTTTTATGCTTCAGCTGACACTTAACCACATACACGTTTCCTTCATTTTGTATGAGCTTAGCACCTGCAGCTGTTTCCAGGATGCGTTCCCCTTTGATCCTCTCCAGCAATCCCCTCTGGGACTCATGTTCCATAGCACCCAGTGAGGTGTTGCTGTGTTAACACGCAATAAATGTGTTCGTCTGCAAGTGAGAGGCAAAGGTCTTTGTTAATGTAACTTAGACAAGAGATGAGAGGATTCTTCAGTGCCAGAGGAGTTAGAGTATCTCAAAGAAAGATGAGAGAAAGAGCAAATGTTGAAATAACAACTGAGTGTTATACAGTAATATAAAAGTCTACACCATGCTTGTAGTATCTTACAGTGTAGGAGCACAGCTCTGGGACGTATCAGCCTGGAGAAGAGAAGACAGGAAGAGGATGGCATCACTGTTGATAAATATGTGAAATGCAGGAGTCAAATGGATGGGGTGGGCTCTTTCCAGTGGTGCCCAGCAACAGGACAAGGGGCAACAGGTGCAGACAGGAACACAGGAAGTTCCATACAAACATGAGGAAAATTTCCTTGCTGTGAGGGTGACAACATTGGAACAGGCAGCCCAGAGGTTGTGGTGTCTCCTCTGAAGATACTCAAGACTCACCAGGATGCTTTCCTTTGTAACCTATTCTAGAGGACCTGCTTTAGCAAGGGATTGGACTGGATAATCCTCAGGGCTTCCTTCCAAGCCCTGTGATTTTGTGATTCTTTAAACCTGTACTAGTTTGAAGTGAGACCTCAGGCTTTCTCTTAGATATTTATTAGTGCCAGCCAGTACTGCCAAGATTGCAGTGGTGTCATTTCCCTTGCTTTAACTGGAAGTTGTGAAAAACACTGAATATTTGTATACAAACACCAACCTTATGGCCAGAGTAAGATTTTTGGTTCTTTGAAGATTCTTTCAATGAGTGACAAGGCATCTTAATGCATTATGAAACTTCTGGACTCACATCAGCTGTCAGCTCGCAGTTTGATAGCTCATGCTGAATACTTCATGTGAACCCATGGACTGTTGTGATGCTGTGACCCAGGAGTTGATGTGAGGGATCAGTGTCTCTGACCTGTATCAGAAGAGTGTTTTGGCAGGTGCTGCTGGCCCAGAAACCTGTACAAGACTTCATTTAGATTTAACACAATTGTTATGTTCGAGAGTTAATGATGTTTGGATGATTCAGACTTCGAATGGGGCAGGTTTCATCATCATCATCATCTTCATCATCAGAAGATAAATCAGCAGATAGGTGTATGCTGTGTGCCTTGGTAAGGCTCCTGTGGGAAAAGTGAGGAACATCAGAGTTGAAAGTCAGTCTGAGATGTTTGCATGTGGAGTACGGAATGTTTTCCCTCTACATAGGTTCAAATCATGGATTACCAGCCACGCTCTAGAAAAAAAGCCTGGCTTCTAATAGAATTTCTGTCAGCTCTCTTTGAGAATCTGTTCTAGGAAATTAGCGTGTCTGAATGAAGTAGCACAGATGGAAGAGAGGTGAGAGGGGAGAGAAGCTGAAGAGACTGGAGTGTATTATGGAGGACCTTCCATATGATGTAGTAGAGCTGCCCTGCATTCCTGTTTGCCAGTTCTTCTCTTTCAGGAGAGACCAAGTTTCTGTGGAAGTTTTCACTTAAGCAGTTTCACACAGACTACAGACTGATACCTGTTCTCAATAAGAAAAAAAAGACTTTTATAATTATTTTTATTCCTCAGTCTATGGAGCTGTATAATAACAATAACCTCTCAGTTGTTTTCAGGCTGGGAATAGGAGGTAAAACTTTTTGTCCCTTAGCTTTATGGACCAAATTATAGTCATTTGATGGAAGAACAAACCTTTTGGAAGCACTTGTTGCTCAGTCATTATTCTCCCAAAGCATAACACAGTGCAAATGGAAAATGTTCATTTGACTGCTTTGTCTGTCTGGATCTGAGTCATTTTGAGCATTGGCAACGACTATTTTGGTTTGGGATAAATTCTTATCATTCCTGTCTAAAGTTGTTAGTTTCCTATTGGTTTTGATTCTGGAGATTACCTGCATAGGTAGCATCAAAAATTCTTTGCTCACTTACTATGCTTGATTTCTCATCATTTGTTCACACAACTAGTTCTGATTGTTCTTGCGGATTTGCAAAAATGAAAAGACTTCAGGCTCTGTTGGATTTATGGACTTAACTATACTTGCAGATTCACTGGTTTCTTTACCTCACCCCCACCCAATCATATGGCACAGTTTCAGTGCTGGCTTCTGAAAAGTGTCTTTACTGTTTTACACTGAGAGCCTGAAGTCTGTAGGTAGGTGCTGCATTGTCATGTTTAACTCGAAACTTGTCTGGGTTGCATTGCTGAAAGTTCTGTTTAAAACATAATATTAAATGCAGTACTGTCTCTTATCTTGAGACTAGCCAAGCTGTCAGGGTTAGTTTGACTGAAGCAGCTGTTTGGTTTGGATGTATGCAAGTTGTTGCATGCACGAATGTCCAGCTGTTGAAATATTAAACTTGATGCTTTTTATAAAGGATGGTGGAAGGGAAGGAAAGTAAATCCCCCTTCCTGCTTCAATAAATAACCAGACAAGTAACGTTTGGTTGACATTTTCCTTTCTTATAACATGTTGAGTAATTGTTTTACTTTTTCCCCTTGAGATATTTCTCAGCTGCATGTAAGAAAGAATCCTGTCCATGGTTTCCCATCAGTGCATTTACCTCTTTGTTCTACAACATGGGAGTTAGGGGGTGGTAATAAACTTGTGTTTTCAGTTGCTCTTGTTCTTCCTAGCATACTGCAGAAGGGCCTTGAGTTAAGAGTTGGCTCTTCTTTTGAGGCACTAATTTTTCCAATTATTTGGTTTTGTATTTGACTGTTTCTCTTAGAGAACATTTTGTTACCTGCTCAGTTTGTAACTGGCTAGAATGTTCCAAAGTCAGTGGTCTAGAGCCTTGGGTGAGAAGTTTGGGTCATGCTTTTAAGTCACCACCACTGCTCTTAGGGGCAAAAAATCTTTAGAACTTGGAGTCCTGCCTTTCCCATGTGGAGAGCACAAGAACCTTGATGAGAATCCTACCAGAATGCAATTCTGCTTCTTGGAAATTAAGGTAAATATTTCCCTCTGCTGTCAATTGTTTCATTCTTTTTATTTACTTATTTGTTTTTGCTATAATAATTTACACTTCAGTCCTGTCAACTTCGTTTCAAGAAAAAATTCCACCTTGTTTTGTAATGTTTACATATGTGAGAAGGTAATATTTATCTTAATATTTCCCCATGCAGATGCAATGGATCAGCTCGAGCAGAGGGTCAATGAATTTTTTATGAACGCAAAGAAAAACAAACCTGAATGGAGAGAAGAACAGATGACATCAATCAAAAAAGTAAGGATATCACAGGAGTGAGCTGCGTTTGTTCTTTTAAAAGAAGATAACCGTAGGAAAAAAATAGTTTATAATTGAGTGAAGTCTTAAGTGTTCAGAACTGTGACTTCCTCTGGGCTTTCACAGAGATGCATAGAACTACCTTAGAGGAGAAAAATGACTGGAAAGTTTCTTTGATAAAGCATTTCTTTTAAGTTTTGCTGAGTATTTGCTGCTATTATTACATTTTTTTAAAAGAAAATGTTGGAGTGATGAAACCAGGTGCTAGCATTTCAGCTTGGATATTTTCTTCTTGCTTATATGACTTGAAGCTTTGTAAGTTAATTGGCATTCTTTTAAAGGATATTTTTCCAGCTTAACTTCAGCATCCCCTCTGATTCTGCGCCTGTCTTTGTATATAGTATGTATATGGTGCATGTACCATTAGAGAGAGAAGACTAAGAAGACAGCTGTGTTTTCTGTTTTGTTTTATCATTTGACACTTGGTGGTGTTGGTATTGTTAGCAGGGTAGTCCATCATTTTGTCAGGACAGAAATCCTTTCTAGTCCTCATACACTTGTAACTTCAGCCCCTTAGGCAACCAAGGTTTATTCTTTCCTTAATTAAAACAAATAAATTATCTTAAAAAAAACAAAAACAAACAAACAAAAAAAAAACCTCCAAAATCAACAAAACACAATGAAAGTCAAAACTCTGACTTCACTGGAGTAAATTTAAAAAAAAAAAAAAAAAAAAAAAAAAGACTTTAATGGAATTAAGATCTCAGTTTTTACTTGAGCTAGGTATTCTTCAGTGGAAATTGAAATAAAAAGGCACTTAAACCTGTTTGAACCTAGAGATAAATATGCCTACACTAACTTTAAAAGGGGACTTATTTATGGTTTTTCATTATTTAGAGCAGATTTTAAAATTGCATCTTGTGTAAATTCATTTTATAATAGTGCATTTTAAAAATACTTTAATAAATTAATTTAAATTATATACTTCTTTTTCTATATGTTTAACTACAGTGCTGAAAAGACCTCCAGTCACAGTAGCATCATTTGAAGGACAGTAGTTTCTTCAGTGGTCTTAAAGATCCACATCAAGTAAAAGACATTATTTCATGTTGAGTCTATAATGCTGCATAGTATAAAACACATTGAAGGGTATTTCTTTTCTTGCAGTGAACCACACTGTGACATGTAAGTGTCACTATAGGAGGAAGTGTCCATGTCTTGTAGTTTTGCTTTTTCTAAGCAATAAATAGCTGGTATAGCTCTCGTCTAACATTTAGCTTACTGCTGTTTACAACAGTTTCACAGTCTTTCTGAAAACTGATTTCAGTTTCTACTATTAATGTACACTTTGTGCTAGGTTAAAATAGCTTAAAACAGCTGAAATTAATTCAGTTACATTTGTGACTTAAAAGCTTATTCTTTTTATACCAGGATTATTACAAGGCTTTGGAAGATGCAGATGAGAAAGTACAGCTGGCTAATCAAATATATGATTTGGTAAGTAGACAAAAGGCTTGTTGTGCATTATCTGAGTTTATGTCTTCAGGAGTTCAGAACATTTTGATAAGTGCTATAGTTCTGTTAATTGTACTCTTACATCAGCTTCAAACAGATTTTTTTTTTTTTTTTAGAAAGACACTTAATGTTTTACTGACTCCTAGGAATTTGGTTGCTTGTACACTGTTGTAAAATATCAAGAAATAATTTGAGAAATTGTAAGCTTTTAATGTATTCTCTTTCTGGTTGCATTTGGTTTTGAAAAGGGACCACAGGCAAGCTATTCCACCTTGTAACGTATGTGTTTTGGGTTTTAAGTATATTTACTTGACACTTTCTCAGAGAACGAAAGTTGCAACTTATTGCTCTAAAATACAGTAGACATAAAACAAATATTTCTTGTTTGCTTGATTCTCCTTCCATCCACTAGTGAATGTTGGAACATTCCCTCTCTCAGTGCAAAAGTTGTTCGTTTTGCAGTAAAGATAAGTACATGATTTTACTGCATGACTGCAGATGAAGAAAGCATTTTGAACGTGGTGGTTCTTTGTTTAGTTTTTTTTTTCTTTTGTGAGTTTTTGGCACACCAGAGTATGTCATACTTTACTCAAAAGCACGTCAGTCTGTACATGTTCAGTACAGACACCATTCTTTCTGTGCACGTTGGCAGATGTACAAGTATTGAACAAGAAACTTGTAATTTCTTCTTACAGCATAACCACTTTTTTTAAAGGGCATTTCATGTACTGTTCTTGGTCTTCTAGTTTCTATACCCATACTCACAACAACCCTGAATGCTATTAGCCCCTTTTCTCATAGAAAAAACGTAACATTTTGTTTTGGAACACCACCTGTAATGAGAGGAAGGCTTCTAGCTGCTGAGCCAACATGCAGCTTTGGTGAATCCTGTGATTCACTGGGCAGCTGAGGAGCAGCAGCCCATCTTAGTGCTAGTTTTAGTATTTCTGCTGAGTGGGAAGTGTAGGAGGCCAAGAAGTTAGGACTCTTTGTGTTCTTATACATGCTTAGTACTGAAAACTCCTGGAAGAGCAATTCTTAGCAGACCAGATAAAAAGGTGTAGCTCGTGGTTGTGCAACTGTTTGGCTTGTCTGGGCTGCATTCAGCAAACAGGAATTGCCACGGGCCACATATAAAATACATAATAAATGTAATGCTTATAAGTAACAAAATTTTTTTTAACATGTTTTTATTAAAACCTAAAAAACAAGGAGCAACAAAAACATAAAACTGATGTGATGTTTGACCTCGTTTTTGTGAAACTTATGCTTCATGCTGGTTCTATGGCAGTGGTTGCCACTCCTCGTGAGTTCTCAGGGTATTCATCTGAGATTTTTGATGAAATATTTCTTTTCCTGTGCTTCATCCTTGACAATAATTGTTCACAAACGTATATATTGTCAAAAACTGATGACATGAATAAATGTGACCGTGAAGGGAAGAGTATTTTCCTCTGGAAAGAGGGCTTATGAAAGTCTGGCAAAGAGACATGACAGAATTTTTCTTTGAGTTGAATCCTGGTTGCAACTCTATACATTCTGTATGAAGTTTGCAAATAATGGATTTCTGTTGACGGAAAATGGAGTTGCAAATATATAAAAAAAGATTTTTTTTCTTTTTTTTTTAAATATTGAAACCTATTCTCAAATTGTAGTCTTTGAAAAGTGACGTGGTTTGTTTGCAAATTAAGCATAGTGCCGTGTTATCTATCAGCACTGCACTGTGAGCTGAGTTGGGTCACGTGCATCCTGTGGGTTGGATGTGCCTGGTGTAGTCATTCATGTTCCAGAACTGGACGCTTCTTACTGTTGCATTGTCTCCCAAACAGGTAGATCGTCACTTGAGAAAACTGGATCAGGAACTTGCAAAATTTAAAATGGAACTTGAAGCAGACAATGCTGGAATCACAGAAATATTAGAGAGACGTAAGTATGCGTGCTTTTCTTAAAATACTTGACAGATTTTCTGTCACTTCACAAAAGTAAGACACGATAAAGTTGTTGGGCTACTGTGTTTCCACTCATTTTGCAATTCTGCTTCGATCTACATGCCTTTTATCTGTCAGTGATTCTTAAATTTTAGTTCAAACTTGATTTTTACCAGTGGAATCAAAAGGCACCTGAGAAGTTAGAATAATTTCTCTTTTTAATAGGGCTGTTGTACATATGAATAGTTAAACTAATGTACAGAATTCTTCAAAACTGTTACTAATACTGTAGGCATTCAGGAAAGTGTTGTAATCTATGCTTAACCTACTAGACCAGTTGACTGCTATCAAATAGAGGAGAGTGGATATTCCAATTACAGGCATGGAATGTCAAGTAAAGATACCTACTTTGTAGATCTCTTTTTAAAGAGAAGAGAATGGATGATTTTATCAAAAGGTGGTGAGAGAGGAGCATTTCAAGGAAGAAACCTGCAAGCTTAACAAATACTGCAGCACTGCACAGCTAGTATTCAGAATGTAAATGGGATGTAATGTGATGGTTTTAAAGCAAACTTAATGTGGAAAAAATCCAGCCCTCTATACCTGTTAGTATTTAGATGTCAAGTTCAAATGTGATTATGATGAATTTCAAAATTGCTACGGCATGTCTTATTATGAAGCTAATGGTCAGTGACTGTTCTTCATGACCAAGGCTAGTGAAAAGTAACCCAAGTCACCTGAAGAAATAAGGGGTAAATAGTTTTTCTTTGAACTTTGTCATAAAAGCTAATTTTCCTCAAAGTTTTGTTTCTAATTGCTTGTTTGATTGTTTGTTTTTAAATAAGAGGCACAAAAAGAAAGCTGCTGAGTAGGTGTTATTAATGAACTACTGCAAAAGAGGGCAACTAGTGCATTTTTTAGTCCAGCCTGCAGTTTTAAGATCTGATGCTAACTTTATTTGGGCCATTTGTTTGACAATGTAGGTGGAATTTTGAAAACTGAAAACACAAATGAACCAGGCTGTGTTTAAGATATTTATTACTTAATAACATGTAAGGTAGAATGAAAAGCTTCTTAACATTTTTAGCTATCAGAGTAAAAACATGTTTTTGAGGTTCCTCCAGAGGGCAGCCTTTGGACTAAATCACAGCATGATTAAAGTTGGTTCAGCCTTTCCTTTCCTCCCTCCTTTTTGGATTTCCACTCTGGGTATTTTCAACATCTGTGATTTTGAATACAGATGTATGACAGAGTGTTGGGTCAACTTGAAACATATTTCTGGTCTTGGTATGTTTTGAGTCAGTATGATGAGATGGGAGATGGCATCATTAGTATAGTTTACTTTTTAACTGCATTTTAACATTTATGTTCATAAATGCATCTACAGTCTTCAGTTCAAATAAGCACATATTGTCCGTACTTCTAGTGCAGCTTAGTGGCCTGTATGCAACTTATTGGAAGTGGCATATTGCAAGTAGTGTTGTTTTTAGTTCTCAAGATTGACCTTGATTTTAACTTTTCTTTGAAAGTTGCATAGCAGTAGTCAGCGATTTCTATTTTAAAACTTTCCTATTAAAAGTGTTAACAAGATAAGGTCCTGTTTAACCTTGTGTGACAAGGCTGGGGTGCAGTAGGCACTGCCAGCTGGGCAGGGGAAGAGATTGTCCCCCTTGCTCAGTGCTGTGTGGCCTCAGAGAATCACAGAATGGCCCGGGTTGGAAGGGACCTCAAGGATCATGAATCTCCAACCCCCTGCCACAGGCAGGGCCACCAACCTCCCCATTTAATGCTAGACCAGGCTGCCCAGGGCCCCATCCAACCTGGCCTTGAACACCTCCAGGGATGGGGCATCCACAACCTCTTTGGGCAGCCTGTTCCAGCACCTCACCACTCTCTCTGTAAAGAATTTCAACCTAAACATCCAACCTAAATCTTCCCTCCCTCAACTTAAAACCATTTCCCCTTGTCCTGCAGTTATCTACCCTTTTAAAGAGTTGATTCCCCTCCTGTTTGTAGGCTCCCTTTAGGTACTGAAAGGCTGCAGTGAGGTCACCCCACAGCCTTCTTTTCTCCAGGCTGAACAAGCCCAGCTCCCTCAGCCTGTCCTCATAGGGGAGGTGCTTCAGTCCCCTGATCATCCTAGTGGCCCTCCTCTGGACCCTCTCCAACAACTCCCTTTCTTTCTTGTACTGGGAGCTCCAGTCCAGGACACAGTGCTCCAGATGGGGCCTCACAAGAGCAGAGTAGAGGGGGACAATCACCTCCCTGTCGCTGCTGGCCACCCCTCTTCTGATGGAGCCCAGGATACCATTTGCTTTCCGAGCTGCAAGAGCACACTGCTGGCTCATGTCAAGCTTTTCATCTATCAGGACCCCCAAGTCCTTCTCTGCAGGGCTGCTCTCAAGGATTGCTCTTTCCAGTCTGTATGGGTGCCTGGGATTCCTCCGGCCCAAGTGCAGAACTCTGCACTTTGCTTGTTGAACCTCATCAGGTTCCCCCAGACCCACCTTTCAAGCCTGTTGAGGTCCCTCTGAATGGCATCCCTTCCTTCCACCGTGTTAACTGCACCACTCAGCTTGGTGTCACCTCACCTCAAGCACTGTGTGTACTTTTGGTAACATGGTATAAGAAGAACATAAAGCTGTTAGCATCCAGGAGTGGGCTGTGAAGATGGGAAAGGCATCTGAGGAGCAGCAGAGATCGCTTGGTTTGTTCAGCCCAGCAAACAGAAGGCTGAGAGGAGGCCTCCTGGCGGCCTCCCTCTCTCGTGACAGTGACAGGACTGGAGGAAACAGCATGGAACTGTGTCAGGGAAGGGTCGGATGGGTGTTAGGCAAAGGTTTTTCACCAGAGGGTGGTCGTGCACTGGAACAGGCTGCCCAGGGCAGTGGTCTTGGCTACAGGCTGCTGGAATTCAAGAAACATTTGGACAATATTTTCAGATATATGGTCTGAATTTTGTGCGGTCTTGAGAGAAGAAAGGGATTCCATTCAGTAAACCTTGTAGTTCCCTTCCAACATGGGATAGACAGTGATTCAACTTAGTCATTCCTGGGAACTTATTTTGGGAAAGATTCTAACTCTAAAATCCTTCCAATTAATATAAGTGTAATTGCATAGTGTTTTGGCTAATATTGTAACAACTTCGTGTCAGAAAAATTAAAGGCATTACATTGTCGACTTTAAAATTTACCGGTCTTTTTATCTCCCATTTTTAGGATCCTTGGAGCTGGATACACCATCTCAGCCTGTGAATAATCATCACGCCCATTCACACACTCCAGTAGAGAGTGAGTATTTGATAGATAAAAGCATATTCACTTTTAAGATATATTTGTCGTCAAGTACATTTATTATATTTTCTTCCAAACGCTGGAAAAATTGGGGTAATTAAATGGTGATCATGCCTATTCGGAAAAACTGCACATGTGAAATAAAAAGGTTTTGCTGGTGGCAGTTAGTTGAAAGTGCTATTTTAGTATCTGTAGTTGTTAACAGTTTTACTTCTAAAGTGAAAAGGCTTTTCCATTTAAGTTCACTTCATTTGTTTTTCTCAGAAAGGAAACACAATCCATCGTCTCACCATGGTGCAACAGATCATGTTCCCGAGAAGAAGTTTAAATCTGAAGCTCTTCTATCTACCCTTACTTCAGATGCCTCTAAAGAAAATACACCAGGTAGTCTTAATTGTTTTACATTTTATTACTTTTAATAGAGGGAAGAAAAATCCAATTGTATGTGTGGATTTTTTTTACTTTTTTTTTTTTTTTTTTAATATGTATCAGAGACCCATACACTTTGCTCTGGGATTTTCAGTCATTTTAAAAATGAGAAATTGCAGACATTGTTACTCACCTGTGTTGTGCATGAAGCTCATTGGCTTTGTTGTCATTTGACAGCTGTGTGTTGGCTGTTTCTTTTTATTTTCACGATTCGGAAGAGGGTAGGAGTATGGTTTTCATTCATCCAGTGGTAGAAATACAAGAGATCCATGCATTATTCTGAGGAAAAGAAGCTCATGCAGTAATTTCCAAAGTAGGAAAAGAACATTCATTCATCTTATAAGGGTTGCTCTGACCTAGCATTCAGCTGTGATCAAATTCTTCTGAGTCTTGTGTGAAATGAGGCCAGATAAGATGGCCCTTTGATTAGTGAATAAAAACACAGCACAGCTTCCTGTCAGTTTGCAAAATAAGGATATTTTGTAGATTCTGCTCAGAAAATGAAAGATTATGAGAAGGTATTAGTAAGTAAAGTACATTGGCAATTTAATGCTGTTCACTAATTTTAAGTAGGTTTTTTCATAGTCATTTATCTATAAGGAACTTCGCATGAGTTGGCAAATTAAACAGAACTACTTTTGAAGAGCTGTCAGGAAATCTGGTGCATTCAAATTGTGATTTTTAGCTTTTAGTGTAAGACTGTTTTAAATATTATCTTAGGGAAAATTTAGTTGTACAGTCAAATTCTTAATTTCTTCTCAATCATCACGGAGTCAGTATAATTTCAACTGAGGTTGGGCTTATATAGACATAACAGCTGTGTTATGTCTATATATAGCTGAGTGTGATAGTGAGGACTGCCTTTCTGAAAGGATTCCTTACACGTGAGGGTAGATGCTTAAGTAGAAAACTAGCAGTGACAAAAAATTTTTTTAGAACTTTTTTCCAAATGATCAGACTACTCTGCATAAATGGAGTTCCTAGTCTTTCACTGGTTGTCATATATAACTCTTCTTAAAATGCAAAGGAATTTAGTTTCATTTTGAATTTCATGAATGTGTTCTGTTCATCAAGGGTGTCGAAACAATAATTCATCATCCTCTTCAAACAATGCATACAATACAAACTCTTCTCAACCATTGGCATCATATAACCTCGGCTCATTATCTTCAGGATCTGGGGCCGGTGCTATTACCATGGCAGCAGCTCAAGCAGTGCAAGCCACAGCACAGGTAACGTCAAAACATTCTCACATTCTCGTCAGCCTGCCACCAGCTGTTGATTAAGAAGGAATACTAGTAGTTTTTTTGATCACGTTCAGCTGGTGTGGTGTTGTTCTCATCATTATTGTGTACATGCTACAGTTTCATCCTTTGAAACTTCCATAAAAGGACAACTCATTTTGTACCTTTTCTTGTGGGATATTCTTACTCATTCTTATCACTTACTCTGCATCACTTTATTAAAAGAATAACTGATGAATCCGTGGCAATAATAGCAGTCCAGTACGTCTTAAGTAAGAACTCTGCTGTATAATCTGATACAATATCAGTATTCTTTTTTAGATGAAGGAAGGAAGAAGAACATCCAGTTTAAAAGCCAGCTACGAAGCATTTAAGAACAATGATTTTCAACTTGGAAGAGAGTTTTCATTATCTAGAGATTCAACTGGGTATTCATCATCAGCTCTGGCATCTACATTAACACAAACATTAAGTTCGTCAAGCACAGATTCACGAAGTGGCAGAAAAAGCAAGTAGGTTTTTTTTGTTGACTGCAGTTGACAACTAAACTTTCACTTAAAGCTCATAGGCATTTAATATGTTGGGAATATAAAACATGAGTGGAAAGTTATTATTCCATACTGGCATTTTTTGTACAGGACTTTCTTCTTTTCTCCACTACTTTCTTTTTCCTCACACGAATTCAATCCAAGGTTTTAAAGAAATACTTGGATTAATTTTTTTGTCTGTTATATTGTCTAGTTTCTTTCCTTATTTTTTCTCTCTACAGGAGAGAAGACTTGGCCTAAATGTAAATGTTGGAAATCCTGTGCAGTGCTTTGTAGATGGTTTTGAAGTAGATCTGGAGATTTGCTTCATGCCACTTTATAAATAAGCAGAACATATTGTGATGTCTGACCACCTAGCACAGGAAGCAGAATGAAATTTACTTCTGATAAAAAGTGATTTTCATCAGAAGTAAATTTGAGGACTCAAAAGTTTTGTTTGAAGGATCTTGTCCCAGATTGCTTGTATTTTAAACTGACTTGCTCTTTTTTCTTTCTTCATACATATTTGTTTTCATTCACAGCTCACTTAAAAAGTCTGTTTTAGAATCATTTCTCATCTACATGTGTCTTGGGTGTCAGATCTGACCTATAAGCAAAAATATAGAATTTGCATGTTGACATTGTTCCAGGGCAGTGATAGCTGATGCTTCAGTGGAGATTAGCATAGAATCAGTCATCTTAACAGTAATCTACTGTACGTGACAATGTAACATAATTGCATGCAAATGCCTGTTATACCATTTACATATTCTTAATGGAGGCTTGACACTACGGGAAAAAAAAAAACATGATGTAAAACATTCAGTAAAGCCATTTGACAATTTAGAGTTGCTCAATTCCATAGATTAGAATAGCCTGACTATAACCTGTTCAGACTGATTTCCAGAGAGTTTTGCTATCGGAGTTCTTGAATGAAATGTGTTATGGAATACACATTTTAGGATTTACATACTGTAGTATTTCAGTCAACAAAGAAGTGCTTCTACTTGCCAGTAAATGAACTTAAATTATGATATGTTTTTTTTTTCTTTCTTTCTTTCTTTCTTTCAGAAACAACAACAAATCCTCAAGTCAGCAGTCGTCATCATCTTCCTCTTCATCCTCTCTGTCGTCATGTTCTTCCTCATCTGCACTGGCACAAGAATTGTCCCAGCAAACAGCAGTAATACCAGAGTCTGATTCCAATAGCCAGGTTGACTGGACCTATGATCCAAATGAGCCACGTTACTGCATCTGTAATCAGGTAAAAACATTGTTCAACCTGAAATACAACCAGATACGCTGTTTCTCTGCAGGTGACCTTCTCGCTCTGATTGCTCATTTAAAACCAGATCAGAATTTCAACACTGCAAATAGGATGTTTTTATTTCTTTAGTGGTAACATGACAGGACTCTGGAAAATGGTTTTAAATTGAAGGAGGGAAGATTTAGGTTGGATGTCGGGGGAATTTATTTACAAAGAGAGTGGTGAGGTGCTGGAACAGGCTGCCCAGAGAGGTTGTGGATGCCCCGTCCCTGGAGGTGTCCAAGGGCAGATTGGATGGGGACCTGGGCAGCCTGGTCTAGTATTAAATGGGAGGTTGGTGGCCCTGTCTGTGGCAGGGGGTTGGAGATTCATGATCCTTGAGGTCCCTTCCAACCCTGGCCATTCTGTGATTTTATGAATAACAAAGTCAAAGGCCCAAGCAACAAACAAACCAATTTTCCTGCGATGTGCCACATCTGGAGAGTTCTAAGTCTCTTACTGAAGAATTTAGGAATAATTAAATTCAGAGTTGAATACGATCACCGTGAATTTTCTTAGAATTTCAAGCTAGAGTAATACTTTTTCTCTCATACTTTCCTCCTTTTGCAAAATAAATTAATAATGGAGAAGATACTATTTTTGTAAAAGCCACTCCGAAAATTGAAAGACTGAATGAGAGCATGAGTTTTTAAAAATGCCTGCTCTGATTTTATAGTTTTAAGTGCTAAATTTATTTTTTTTTTTTAGAGTTTACAGAATCCTTTGGTTCTTTTGAAAGTATGTGATTGTTTCTTTGGAATAGTTCTTGAAGTTGTCATGTGTGCGAGGGAAATGCTAGACATAAATACATTTGAAAAGTGGGTTGATGGTGTCCAAACCTCAGTGCTGAGGACCAAAATGTACTTAGTTTGAGTTTTGAATGCTGGATTTTTTTATCCAACCTGGCACATACATGTGAACACAATTATGGAACAACAAAAATATGTATTGTTGCCACTGCTGATGGAAGAACTTCTGTAATGTAAAAGAAAAAAGAAACAAAAAGCTTGAATTCCACCCCTCTGAAATTTTTTTTTTTATTCATAAGGTTGGCTTTTTTTCTTTCTTTTTTAATAGGTGTCCTATGGTGAGATGGTTGGCTGTGATAACCAAGATGTAAGTAATAAAGTTCAGAATGCTCATAAGAGAAGCGTCGTGCATGTAACTATTGCTTACAGGAGTTACTTTTCTGTAGTGCTTGTTACATTTTCAGTTTTAGTGAAAATAGGGACAAGTGCAGCTCTTTGTTGTTTACATATACACAGCAAAAAAAGTAATCATTTTTCCTTTTTCTATTCAAATCCCCTACCTCACTTCAGACTTAAACATATAGGATGCATGGGAACAAACAGAGATAAAAGAAAATGTTTTTAATATTAATCTTTCCAATCACATAGGAGTTCCATGTATTTCTCCTTGCTTAATCACAATAAGGTTACACAATACCGTGTGTAAGAAGAGTATTCAGAAACTGCAAACCTTGCTGTTAAGAACTTTTAGGTGTGTGTAGGGCTTCCATTCTAAACAGAACTGCCCCTTGCTAACTTGTTTGTGCTTGAAAGGCTTTTTTTTTGCTTAGGTAGAAATCCTAGACAAAAATTGAAATTGCATTAAACAAACTTGTATATTTTATCCCTGATCACTGTCTTAAACATCATAAATACATACTTACAATTTTCTTTTTCTCTATGAGTAGCTGCAAATTTAAAAAGATACTTTCTGACCTGGAAAATTTAAGTATTGGAAATGTACCATTATTCTGAGATTCACAGATTTCACTGCTACTGCCTTGAATTTTTTGTTCTTATTTCATCTTTCGTGACTTGCGATGAGACTGAAGGAATCATGCACAAAATCAATCAAAGAGTAAAGAAGAGAAAGCAAGAAGTTAGCAGTTGACGTTAGAAATAGTAGCAGTGCCAGGATCATAGAAGATTTCATGGAAAACTTCAAACAGAAGTAGAAATTAAATATTTGTGTGAGAAGTACGATGGGAATTAATGTGCACATGAGTTGAAGCGTTCTTCCAGAAACTTCTCCTCATCTGCCCCACAGTTCAGATTCTTTCAGAAGTTGTCTCTTTCCTGAGGAAGTTTGACATATTTGAAATACCCTTTATTTCTGGGAACGTTTAGCTATGTCAGTATTAATCCCAATTGTCTGATTCAAATGCTGCAAGTTTTAAAAGAGCAAGTGAATGTAATTATGTACTTACTGAGATTATCCTGCATTCAGCCCGAAGTGAGTGATGAAGATTACTGTTGTGTCACTTAAAATGTTGTCAAGCTAGATTTATCATTAGCACAGTATACTTACTTTGTTTTCTATATAAATGAGTCAGTCTATGACTTGTAGAATTTTTGTTGCTTTCCTTACTCTGTTGGGTGTATGGGGTATGGATTTCTCCTCTTTTTTCACTTTATCCCATTATTTGCTTGGTATGAAAGGCAGAACCTACACTTCCTACTTGCGCTTCTTTTCATAGAATTGTATGTAATCACAATTCAAGAAGAAAAATCCCAAACCCTCTCTAAACTCTATTTTTATAGTGTCCCATTGAATGGTTCCATTATGGATGTGTTGGACTGACAGAAGCACCAAAAGGGAAATGGTACTGTCCACAGTGTACAGCTGCAATGAAGAGGAGAGGCAGCAGACATAAATAAATATCTTCATCTGGAAAACAAATTGCTTACTAAAGGTTTTATGGGGGACTTACGTGGGGGGAGAAACCCCCACCACACTTCCTCGCAACCACTTAAAGAAGGGTTAACATAGCAGTCATAAGATCTTGAGCTATTGGTTGGTTTTGCTGGTCGTGTTTTAATATTGTATGTAAGCTGTGTATGCACATTGATGTGCTGCAGATACTATTCCAGCAAGCCTTGGATTGTTCCAGTGGCCAACATATGCAGATATTTGTACTATCAAACCATTTTCTCTAAGCAGTGGGCATTCTACAATTATTCAGTCTTCAGAAAATTCTGATAAGTCAAGATTTTAAATGTATGTTTTATATTCAACAGATATATTCTGCTGCATGTACTGTATTCAAGAGCTGTTATGTAACACTATGTATATAAATGGTGCAAAAAGTCAGTGCTTCTTAAAAAAAAATGATTTTTAAAATGCCTTTATAGCTTTGGTTCTTTATGAAAATTAATTCAGCAGGCTGAAGAAAATGGTTCTTGTATACAGCGGGCTGTTGTCCTCTAGGGTACTTGAGTATGTAAAAACAAAAAAAAAAGCTGTAGAATAAAACAAACTTGTGCCATTAGTCTATGTTTCTGCTCCAGACAAGGTGCAGACCATAAGAAAGAAAAAGGTGTTAAAGTGATGATAAATTTTTATACCAAATGTGTTTATTTTTTTGTGCAAGTAATCCTTTAAATTTGAATTGTATTAGGTGTTAAAATAAAACAACCTCAACTCCTTAATTTGATGTTTTCTGCACATCTGTCAAAAACAAGAGGTTTGTTCCTCTCATAGTTTCTGAAGAACATAGCTGAGTTTCCATGAGAAATTCCTGCCATATTCCTTCTTGAACAGTAGCTTTCATGTAAAAGTTAACACATGGATCAGAAAAGATGTAGAAGGATAAATAGTTCATCCAGCTGTGGAGGCCCTGGAGGTACCTAACAGGGACAGTCATGTTATGGAGCTTAAAAGGAAGCCACTACATGTGCAGATCCTTTAAGACCTGCTAAGTCAGAGCTGCATTGCTGTAGCACAGGATCAGGAATCTTGATTTTTAGATGACAGCCCCTTAAAAGGTACTTCTTTGGGCCGTGAATATAATGGAAAACCTTTTTTTTTCCTCCAGCTTGTTTATTTTGGATGTAGTTTGTAGATTTCCTTTCACAGAAAGTTTTCTTGTGTTGTTTTCATATGGCTTTTTGGTTTGGCAGCAGCACTGAACAGAAACAAGAGCATTACTCCTTTTTTTCCTCCTCCTTTCTACCACTAAGAAAAAAAAAAAAAAAGAAAAAATACACTTTCCATTTGGAGTAAAGATTTTATTGTAGCATTGGAATTCTCTTTGGGCTATGTGCTTTCCATGGACCTTCATAGTAGCTTTCCTTGAAACGTTGCCAAACGCCATCTTGCACCAAAACACTCCAATGTCAAGGAAATAAAGAGTTAGACTTACTCATATTAGGAGTATGTGCAGAAAGTGCAGGCTTAAACTAAAGTGAAACCAGACTTCTATCACAGCATTTATGGATGCCCCATCCCAGAGGCATTCAAGACCGGGCTGGATGTGGCTCTGGGCAGCCTGGTCTGGTGGATGGTGACCCTGCACATAGCAGGGGGTTGAAATTCAGTGATCATTGTGGTCCTTTTCAACCCAGGCCGTTCTATGATTTATTCTAAAAAAAAGAAATTGGTTATTTTAAGTCCTTATACTGAGGAAAAATAGATGAAAAGAACACATGACTGTAGTAAAATAATAGGATATGAGTTGATTTAAAAAAAAAAAAAAAAAAAGCAAAGGGCAGTGTAATTAAGATTCCATTAAAAGTGGGGAATTAGCCCACTGTATGTGTGCTTCTGTAGACATCTCAGCTTGAAAAAAAAAAAAAAAAAAAAAAAAAGGACTTGTATATCTGGTTTTGAGGGAGGCTATTGAGACCACAGAGATAAGAGAAACTATTTGTTCTGTTAGAAACTGGTGCTAATCTGTGAATGGAAGTTAAAGAGGCAGTAGGTAATCTGGACTCCCCTTGGACTGAAGAGCTCAGTCTCTTGAGCTAAGGACTAAATGTAATAAGAACTTGAGTATTCTATAACAAATTCCTTCACTGGTGGTGACAATACTTAAGATGGTGCAGAGACTGCAAATCTAAATAAATGAGTCAGTTTTTAGTAAAACAGTTTACTGAAAAAAACCTTCATCCTCATTAGTATCTAAGAAAATAGGGAAGGACAAAAGTGCAAAACAATGCAATGTACGAGGTAAACATGCAGAACAGTCAAAATTGTTGTAGCATTTGGACATCTCAATACAATAGAAAATGCACAACCATAAAGGTGTGATGATGGAAGAACTAGCACAACACAGAGGTGCAATACAGGAAGGGAAGAGGATTGCTCACCTGCGTATGAAGATTCCAAAGGAAAACAGAATTTGCAGAGAAAAGGTCTACCAAGGAGAGATCTCCAAGTAGAAATCCTCCCCTGCTACCAGTCAGGTCAAGAAGAAGTGCAGCCAGGCTGCACCCCTTCTGGTCTCACAGGTGAACTGCCTTCACCTGCGCCCCCAGGCTGACCCAGTCCATTCCCCAGGTGCTCAATCAGTCGTTCAGGCTGTGACTCAACAGTTCCCATATAGCTGTACATACGTATGCTTTATGTTTTCTTCTATGCAGGAAGCCTGTCAGAAGCTAATGGGTCAGTGGGTGGTTAAAGTGCAAAAAGAACTGAATTTTTACACGATTGCGATAGGCAAGCTAAGTTATTTCTTCACCGTGTGAGAGGTTAGGCAGATTTGAATACTGGGGTCTTTGCTGCAGGATGCTTGAAGGTTGCTCTAAAAATAAGGTACCTGTAGAAGTGAGTCTGCAACATACTGCAAACATTCATGGGAATCCCAGAAAGACTCATGTAGGGAGTATCTGAGCTGCTTTTACTGCATTTGAAAAATACCAAAAGGGCTGACAAGTGATAAATATTAAGCTTCAGGTTGGATTTACAAACCTAGTTCTCAGTTCCTTGTGCATTGGTAGAGATTAGAATTAGTGCATGAGTGAGTAAATACATACTGGGAGAGTCGTTGCCTCATGTTCATTAGAGCTGTGGGAAAGCTTCTCTTAGTAGAAGGCGGCCAGCTTAATGCAGTTTCCATTAAGGCAGTTAGGGTGTTTCATTAATGCAGTAAGTGAGGAGAGGAGGCCTCTTCACATTACGAAATGTGCAAAACAGAATAAAGAGTAAAGAAGTTACCAATATTGCCAGTAAGGGGAGGCTGCTAAGGGAGTCCTGTGGGTCTCTACTACTCACTGGTTATGTAAAAGATAGTAAAAGAAGGGTCAATAGTGACAAAATGTTTGCACTTGTGTTGAGTTCTTAAAGCAATGAAAATGAAGTGTTGAAGTTGCAAAACAATCTCATGAGACTGTATCTCATCAAACAGGAGATGCAATTTAATGTTTGTTAATTTAATGTGAAATAAGATTAAAATAACAATTCTCTGTTTACCTACATCTACGTCCTCTGAATTAGCTACTGCCGAGTAGGGAAATAAATGATTTTGGAATTACCTATTGAATTCTGTGGGAACATTGTTTCTCTGCTCAGCAGCAGGTCAGACAGGTGCTAAGAATGACTTAGTAGGAAATAAAGAATGAAACAGAGGAGAGTTCTACGCTGTGTAAATTGATGGCACCGTTAGGTTTTACCGTAGTGTAAAATTCTGATCCACCCTTCCAGAAAAATGTAGTAAAATGGGGAAAGTCTCACACAGGAGGATGAAAGTACATTTGAGAAACAGCTGAGTTAGATGGGGCTTCTGTCTGGAAAAGAGGCAGCTTAGTAAAGATAAAACGTGTCTGTAAGTTCATGAGTTCTGTGGAAAAGGCTTGTCTTTTGATAGGAGTAACAAGCAGGTAGTCCAGGGTGAAGAAAAAGAGCAGCTTTTTTGCATCTACTGCGTGCTTACATTGCAAAACTTGCCATATAGCTCACATGAATGTAAAATGTGACTTAAAAACAAACTGGAGCGAGATCAGCAAGGGCATAAAATTCAGAAGTTATACATCTGGAACAAAAACTCACTGAAGACTGATCGCTAGAAATTACATATAGCAAGGGGAATTGTTCCTGTATGGCTGTGATAGTCCTACTGGCTGGAAGAGACAGGTCAAAGCGAGTGTACCTCCTTTGGTAAATGTAAAAGGAGAACTTGCTTCAGCAGATGGAGAGAAGGCTGAGGTACTGATTGAATTCTTTGCCTTGGTCTTCACTGGTAGCCAGGATTCCAGTACTTCTCACATCCGTGAGCCCTGAAGCCCTAAACTTCTAGATGGGGACCAGGGTGGTAAATCCCTCCCCCCCCCCCTCCCCCCGTAAGGGCAGAGCAGGTCCAAGACCACCTCATGAGACTGAGTGTGTACAAGTCTATGGTGCTGGATGGCGTGCATCCCAGGGTTGTGAAAGAGCTGGCTGAGGTGGTTGCCGAGTCGCTCTCCATCATATTTGGAAAGTCGTGGCTGTCAGGTGAGGACCAGGATGACTGGAGGAAGGGTCACGTCACTCCCATTTACAAGAAAGGGAGCAAGGAGGACCCCGGGAACTACAGGCCAGTGAGTCTCACGTCTGTGCCTGGGAAGATCATGGAACAGATCGCCCCCACCACATCCTTATCTCCATATTGGAGGATTGTGGATTTGATCGGTGGACCACACAATGGATAAGAAATTGGTTGAAATGGCACAGACAGAGGGTGGTCATCAATGGCTCTATGTCCAGGTGGAGGCGGGTAATGAGTGGCGTCCCCCAGGGGTCTGTCTTGGGACCAGTACTCTTTAACATCTTTATCAAGTGCACCCTCAACAAGTTTGCTGATGACACCAAGCTGAGTGGTGCGGTTGACATGGTGGAAGGAAGGGATGCCATTCAGAGGGACCTCAACAGGCTTGAAAGGTGGGTCTGGGGGAACTTGATGAGGTACAGCATAGCAAAGTGCAGAGTTTTGAACTTGGGAAAAGGAATCCCAGGCATCCATACAGACTGGAAAGAGCAATCCTTGAGAGCAGCCCTGCAGAGAAGGACCTGGGGGTCCTGATAGATGGAAAGCTTGACATGAGCCAGCAGTGTGCTCTTGCAGCTCGGAAAGCAAATGGTATCCTGGGCTCCATCAGAAGAGGGGTGGCCAGCAGGGACAGGGAGGTGATTGTCCCCCTCTACTCTGCTCTTGTGAGGCTCCAACTGGAGCACTGTGTCCTGGACTGGAGCTCCCAGTACAAGAAAGAAAGGGAGTTGTTGGAGAGGGTCCTGATGAGAGCCAGTAGGATGATCAGGGGACTGAAGCACCTCCCCTATGAGGACAGGCTGAGGGAGCTGGGCTTGTTCAGCCTGGAGAAAAGAAGGCTGCAGGGTGACCTCACTGCAGCCTATCAATACCTAAAGGGAGCCTACAAACAGGAGGGGGAATCAACTCTTTGAAAGGGTTGATAACTGCAGGACAAGGGGAAATGGTTTTAAGTTGAGGGAGGGAAGATTTAGGTTGGATGTCAGGGGGAAATTCTTTACAGAGAGAGTGGTGAGGTGCTCGAACAGGCTGCCCAGAGAGGTTGTGGATGCCCTGTCCCTGGAGGTGTTCAAGGCCAGGTTGGATGGGGCCCTGGGCAGCCTGGTCTAGTATTAAATGGGGAGGTTGGTGGCCCTGCCTGTGGCAGGGGGCTTGGAGCTTCATGATCCTTGAGGTCTCTTCCAAC